GAGAACAATCAATTGTTTTCCCAAATAAGGCGGTTCACACTCACCGTTTCCTGCAACGTTGGAAAAGTTTTGAGTCTGCAGGTGATGGGAGCAGAATTGGGACCTAGAGCAGGGTAGGGGTAGAGAGAAAGGAAAAAAGAAAAGCTAAAATAGAGTAAAAAAAAGGATAAAAGATGCTGATTTGATGCCTTTTCTCACATGGGCATATTTTCAAGATATTTCAAGAGGTCTTCCCTCCAAGTCACCCACGGGTGATGCCTGTGGGTGCCATGGTAGCAACACAGGCCCCAAAAGCACCATCTCACCCGTCGGCCACGATTCTCCTCTGTGGGCATCACATCTCGATTCAGCATCAACCCCCAAACACCCATCTGGGGAAAAAGCTCCTGCACTGCCCCAAGCTGGAAAGATGTCCAAAAATGATGATTTTTGCATTAATCACCACTGAGAGTCCAGGGATGGACCAGCTCTGCTGCGTAACCCAAATAGGAGCTGTACAGAAAAAAGCAGAGAAAAGCAACAGCAAGGACCAAGCAAGGGTGACATCCCGGGGTTTTGCTGCCCACAGGCCGAGCTAGCGGGCAGCAGCACAGCTGGATCCTCTCAGCATCTCCCTCTCCTTCCTTATTTACAGCTCGAGATGAAGCCTCCTTGTTCATCTCATTGGCAGAGGCTCAGAATTCATCAATTCTCTGTTAGCTGCCAAATGCTGCATTTCTTTCTATTTTTTTTTCTATTATCTGACAATGAAACAATTTAAAGTGGGATAAAAAAATCAGAGGGGCAAGAAGCAGACATCAGGGTGCTTAAAAAAATAAAGCCTCCTTGGGCATCCAGTCACATCTGCTCTTGCTGCCGCGCTGAGCCGGAAGCATCAGGCTCAAGTTTTTAGGTGAAGGATTGAACAGTTTATGGAATTGTCCAGTGCCACCTGAGGTGTTAAATGAGGGATTTGGGGATAAACCGAGGATTATGTAAAGTGGGTCTTTAAGCACAATGTATTTTTCATTCAAAGATTCAGGCATGTCTAATGTAAAGATGATCGACGTCAGAGCGACAGGGCTCTGCCAGCGTGGCTGGGTTTGGGGTGAATGGGGCTTGAAATGGGAAAATAACAGCTGAGCTGTTCCTAAGCCTTATAAAAAACCAGGTGGTGGGGACAGGTCTGGCCCCAGGAGGCTACGATGGACACAAGAGGAGGACAGAAGAGTGGCTGCAGTGACCAGGTGAAAAGAGTGAGAAGTGGCTGGTGGAGACGGGAGCTCCGTGCTTGGGGACACGGCGCGGCCCATCGACTGCCTCCCCTCCCCGGGGGTTTCAGAGCATCCATTTCTCTGCCTGAAAAAGAGAATTACTCTGCAGATTGTTTGACAAGTCGGTGCATCCCAGCCCTGCGATCCCAGACCAGCATCCTGAGCCTGTCGGGTGTCCAGGAGGTCTGGCAGAGCTTGGACCACATCTGGCTGCTGCGGGAAGGCCACGGAGAAGCAACACCGAGCATCCCCCCCCAGCAACCCCCCTTTAAGGCAAAGCTCTCCAGCCTCACCTTTCTTAACTATTCCTAAGCAAAGTTCTCCACTGAAAAGGGAAAAGGTAATAGATGATTATTCTCCTTAATTAAAAAGCATGTCAATCTTGTAAGCAGTTAATTAATAATTCCACATTCACTTGATTAAGTGCTGGGACAGCTGGAGGCAGCACAGCACACACGAGGCTCCCAGGGTCAGGCTGAACCCGCTGGGCTCAACTCAGCCTTGTAAACCAGGGTGTAAATTCTCTGTCCCCAACAGGTCTTGAGGTATTAGGGATAAAATCACAGCTGATGTCACCCTGATGTCACCCTGGTGTCATCCAGCTCTCCCACCCATCCCCACACCCCCCCAGCCTCCGGGGCTCCCCATGTCTACAAGAATAAACCCACCTTGCTGACAGCACTTTTGCTTTCCAGCTACGATCAAATATGAATAACTCAAATTAATCAATGGCTGTGATAAATCATAGCTCGTTAACATCTTGAAGCAGAGGGGAGCATAGAGCATCGCTCCTTCCCCTGGCCAGAGCACCCACCGCAGCACCGGGTGCTGAAGAACCGTCTCCCCTTCCTCCTCTCCCCACCCACTCCTAAACCAACTGCAAAGTGGATTTTCATGCATCGGTCCTAAAAAGAATGCAGTTCCAGGATATGAAGTAGTCATTAATCACCAGGAAATTGTGCTTGTTACAGGAGAAACATTAACAAAATAATCATAAATTGTCTGCCAGCCCTGATTTGCAAATGCATACGTTTCTAAGGGTATGGAAAGGCATCTCGTTTTGCTGGTGTAATTAGTTATTAACCCTTTGCCACGCAGTGCAGAGCACGGGCACCCGCACGCAGGCTCGCCCGTACCCAAACATCCTCCACTGTGCCCGAAGCTGCTCCTGCAGCCACCTCATCATAAAAAATCTTAAGCACTCCTGGCGTCTTTGGAAAGCTGCAGGTCCTGAGACTATTAAAATCCTATAATTTTATTGCTGTGATTAGATTAAAATGCTGATTTAAACCAGCCAGCCATGCCGGAGCGGGCTGCACGCCCTGCTCAGCCTCCCGAGGACCATTCCTTCCCAGCAGTAAAGAACCTGGATGCGCTCAGGATCCCACCAGCGGCTCCCTGCAGTGCCATCACCCGTGGCACGGCGCTGCTCTGAGCCCTTTCGAACTCACTGCATGGATGGGGCAGCCCCGGAGCTGCAAGAGCAGGGAACAAATCCGGGCTCCCCCAATGATTCACGCTGAATAACAGCAGGGGCTGGCAACTAGAGCAAGAAAATGTGGTTTGAAATCCAAACCTAATTCCCCTCTGCATCCGTTGGCTGGGATCACCCTGACGGCGGGGGGCCGGGCCCCAGCTCCGCTGTGGGGTTTTATCCCCGCAGCATCCACATAGGGTGCTTGGAAACCAGCTCCAGCAACCCAGGGGTTGGTAGTCAGCCCTGACTTCGCTTGCCCCAGCACTCTTTTCTGATGCCATGTTGAACGGAATACAATCGAAATGCATGTACTGAATTAGTTGCCATCCCATGATGGGGGTGGCCTGGGGAGGCAGGGGGGTGTGAGGCCACGTGTCAGGACCCGGACGACCTCCTCCCATGGTGGATTTGGCTCCCGGAGGGTCACCATCTCCCCAATCCCACCCTGTCCCTCCATCCAGCTCCTCCAGCCATCCCATCCTGCCTGGAGAGAGTCACCAGTGTCATGAGCGGTGCCAGGGCTCTCCAGTACACAAATGCCACCGGCTCGGTGAGCGCAGGGCATTTGCGGGTGCATTTGTCAGCAATTATTAGCTTTCAAATCCCACAGGTGTCTGAAGACTTCTACACCCACTCCTGTTACAAGTGACACCAAAATTCGTCATAACGGAAGAATTCAGTGAGAAAATTCCTCTCTGCTCCCCTGGTCTGCTCGCAGAGCCTTTGGCAGCGACACACCGAGCCGGGCCGAGCCCTCCCTCACCCCTCTGAAACTACTTGCAGATCCTACCCCAGAGGAGGAGGGAGGCAGAAGAATCCTCGTCAGCACTTTTGAAGAGGATTTTTTTCCAAAAGTGGACTCTTCCTTCATCTCAAACTTTCCACTCATATGAATTCACACCCCTCAAAAATATGTTGTTATTCTTTTTTGTAAAAATAAAATAATGTGAAATACCAAGCAAATTGGTTACAATATTTGATTTCAGGTCACTACAGCCTCAGGGCTGGGTCATTTGAGCCTGAAGGGACCCTCCCCTGCAGCACCCGGGCTGATTTCAGATGCCCACCGGGGTCTGCGTGTGCCACGTCACCGGGATGGGGACAGTCTTGGGAGGGCACAGACGAGGGACAATCGCTGGGCATGAGCCGAGTCACTTCTCACTGGGGGATTTGAGGTGATTTGATTGATAGCAAAGCAATTTTACGGGAACAAAATACCACGTGCTTGAGAATGGGACTGGGGGAGAGGGAAGGGAAAGCGTTTGGGTTTATGGGTGATGCTGATGGTCATCGAAACCCAACTGCCACGAGGCAGGGCAGGGCCTGACCCCCAACCCGCCGATAGCGACGGCTCCAGGAGGTGCAGGTCTGGCCGTGGGCTCCTGTCAGGGCTCCCAAGCTGGCCCAGGGGCAGTGGCACTGGCCCCACCGTCGGGCTCTCGGCCACACAGCATCCCCTGGGTGCTCCGGTCCACGGACAGGCCAGCAAAGCTCCCAGGGTGACCAGGGGAGGGATGGTGTTAATGAAGGAATCTGCTAATTGCATGTAGAAGCAGGAATTATTGAGCTGCTCCTGCCACGCAGCCAGAGAAGTCCAATCTCTACATGAAAGAAGAAATTATTTTTCAAACCTGCTGTTTGTTCTGCTGTGACAGGTCGATGAGTAAGGCAGGCATCCTCGCTTCCCTTTGTTCTCTCCGACCTAATCAGTTTTAATTGGAAGAATAAATGAGACCTTTCCTTCAAGATAATTATACAAAACATTGAATTAAATTACTATTAGGAATTTTTTTTTTTTTCTCACCACTTGTGCCAGGCATCTGTTGCTCTAAACAATCATCTGATAAACTTGCGCGGTGCAGCTTTCCCCGCCGATAGCAAGCACGTACGCCCCTCCCAGGGTGGCTGGAAGCCACCGGTTAATAAATCAGAGAAAAGGGGCTGTTCTCCCCAAAATGTCTCCTGATGGGCATCGAGATCCGAGGGCCCCGTTGCCCGAGCTCTATAGGATGCTGCTGTGCCCGTCACCGAGGCCTCGGGCTCGGCACAGGGAGCTGGCGCTGCCTTCGCGCACCGCCACGGTTGATATTTTCAGGAGCGTTCTGGGATAAACCCGCCGTGAAGCAGGG